GCTTATAGCTCTACAAGCATAGAAACGCTGTAGGTGCCCTGCAGAAATGTGAAACCCTGAGATGAGTGGAAAGAGCCACACTTTGACAAAGATGAAGCTACAGAATGGCAGATAGATTGGGAGCAGGAGTGGCATCCACTTCCTAAGCAACACGCCTCTGGAAACTCTATGAACTTTGAGAACCGATGATAGTTACTGAAAGGCTTCAGGCCTTTTGTTCATAGAGTCGCGAAGAGTTGTGCTCAACTCAATGGCAATCAACAACAACAACATTGGGCATATATTTCTAAAACTTCCTTGTTAAAAGTAGTTCATGGGCTTTAGAAAGTTTTGGGTAATAATACATATCTAGTAGATGTTTCAAGGGTAGGTATAGTTTTCCTGGAGATACCAGTAACAACTTCAGGTTATCCTGATATTCCTCCCTGTCAGTTGCTTCCTTGTCTTTCTTAGAGTATAGATACATTGGAGACAATGTTGAAAAGAGCAAAGACGAGTTTTAATTAGTATTTCCTATGGAAGCGTCATTGTTTGGAGCCTTGTTGGTTCTGCTTGTCAGCATAGAAACACCAAAAATTTTAAGTTAGAGTAAGGAAGGCAATGGATTTATAACTGCTCATGTTAATAACACTATCATGGCATGGAGGAGGAATAGTGGAACTGTATCCACATGTACAGTATTTTTCTTACCAAAAACATTTATGAAAAATAGGAACTGCATTGAAACATGTATCTCTTTGGATTTCCTATTGCCAAAGGGGCCCTTTAGAGTAGTGAGAGATCTTCACCCTGAGACCTACAGTGCCCTTTCCCAGCAGGAAGTAGCTAAGAGAATGCAGCACCCCTTTCCTAATGAATCAGGGTGAGGTCTCTCAAGTGAGAGTGATAGGGAATGGCAAAAGACACGCTGACAAAGGAGATTATTCAGGCAGAACTGTTTTTGACAAGGACTGTGGCAATAGGACAATAAAAACACTCTACGGGAATATCCAACCTGAATCCTTGGGATCATATGGAGATTTTTAGAAGTATTTCTTTGAGTTTATGTTTAATTTGTTTAGTTGGTGAATAAACGATGGCGAGAACAAAAACAAGAATGAGTCAAAGAAGAGAAGAAGCTGTACTGGTCTAGATGATAACATAATTATGATAAAAATCAAAGGGGAGAAATATGGGAAGCCAATACTAAATATTTGTAATAAACCAAATGCTGTTTCAGGATGGAGTTCACCCTGAGGTCCAAGGCCATCCTTAAGGGTTTACCAGATTCTTGTATTTGCTAACACTTCCCTCCTCCTGAGTCAAGGGGAAGGTTTTCAAAAGAAAGAGCTTGACTTTATTTGCATTGAATTATCTTTGTGATTCACTTTCTGATAATTTTCAATAAAGATACAGGGAAGCTGGAATGGGGATCGTCAGTCAGAACTGCTGGCCCCCTGTTTTTTATGCTTTCTGCTCTCATTCCTGGCTCTGTCTCACTATTAATAATTATAAAAATACTTCACCCTCGGTCTGCAACAAACTAGGTCTCCCAGGGGAGGGGTCCAGCCCCTGCTTGCAGTAAAGGGAAGGTCTGAAGGGACACCACCTATCAGAAC